CGAAGGAAGATTCAAGAGCGTTCAAGTCCAAGACTGACGTTGATGGGTCTCTTCTCAGATCTGGAACGGTCCAATGGGAAAGCGTCCGGATGTGGGATGAACCGATGCGAATGAGCTTAGATCTGATGTGATGGCGTTCGAACCGTTGTTGAGCCGCAAGAACACCTGCAAGAACTCAACGCCGGAGGGGTTTCCGGCGTAGAGCCTCCGACGCTCAAGTCAGTATGTGAAAGAGATCAGGGGAGCTGCTATGAGAGCAGCAGCAGTAATGAAGAGAATATGGAATGAATGGGAGTTAGGGTTTTGGGGTTACCTCAGCTCCTTTATATAGAAGTGGAACATTCACCTGGAGTCCCCAAAATGCCCAGGCCGACTTACTGGAAATGTCCAAACTACCCTGGTCGGTTCGCATTCCATCCATTTCCTAGTCAGCTTCTAGATCCTTCCTTATCCTTAGCTGCCCCTTCGGTAGGCTGAAGTGTATGAGAGCTATCGGGATTTATGGGCTTCCGACCTGTCTCAGTCGACTTGATCCAGTCGACCCGAGTCGACTGGGTCATATTCGATTGTTGGTAGATCCTCACGTGTTTGACTATCTTTCAAGAGGAAATCCACTTTTGGTAGTCGACACGTGGAAGTCGACTGGGAGAGGTGCCTAGATTTTTGACCGGAGATACCATAGTCTGCGAACAGGGTCGACTTCGCGCAAGTCGACTCGGTAATCTGTGAACCGCGATGATTATTGAACCGTTATACGACTGTATGGCTATATCATCTAGTCCCCCCTAAATTACTCGAAGCGACTCTGAGCTTACGAGTAGATTGTGTCGACTGGATGTTTCCCTCGGATCTTTTCATGTGTCCCGTCATCAGTTACCTTTGGTCGCGCCCACTCGTTACCTCGACTTGTAATACGACTCGTCTAAGCGAATTTTGATTTGATTAGATAGGTCTGAATCTTTTTGAATTTCAAAATTCAAAAAAAAAATAGTGTCTTTGAGCATTGATGAGACGTTTTATCTCTCTGCCGCTTCGTATTCCGTGCATCATCTCAACCGTTGAATATGACTTTAATCTGAGGGTTAGGGTTTCTCTGCCTTCTTTATAAATACTCCTCCTTCCTTCTTGTTTTCACTTTTCGCACTCATCTTCTCTGAGCCTTCTGTTTTCTCCGGTGAGACCAGCATCTCAAGCTTTTCCGGCACTCCTTTCATTTTCCGACGTTCTCAGATCTTTCAGGACTCCTTCGTCGATCACCATGAGTATGAGTAAGTTTCTTTTGCTTTGTTTTTTAATCCATTGGTGCGTTTAAGATAAGAAACTCTCTTTTCTTCTTTCTTTCCCCCTTTTTTTTTTATTATGCTTTGGGGCCTATATGTTCATCATGTTTTCTGGGAATTCTTAGAGAATTCTAGTGGCTTTTCTTTGTTAGATCTTTAGCTGCCGATCTTTTCTCCTTTAGGTGTTTTCGTTTGCCAGTCGTCTCGTTATGAGAGATCGACTCTTTTGTCAAGTCGAATCAATATGGGAACTACTTTCCTCATTTCTTCCCCCTTTCTTCCCGTCATCGAGACGCTTCTCGTGTCATCCTGGTTATTTTGTTGACCCTTCTCTTTGAATCGAGTCACGGTTTTTAATAACTTTTCTTGATTGCCATTCTTTTTCCTCTTAGATTCCAATCTCGACCCCGTTTCTGACCCCGTCTCCGGTTCTCTTGCCCGGGAAATCGATAACTATTCGGGTTCGGACTCTGTTCACCCAAACGATGTCGAGCCGTGTTCTCGTCGAAACGTCGAATCGGAGGGCTCTGTCCATTCCAATGCCTCACATTTCGGTATCGATTTGGCTGTATACAACCAGGCGCTGCTTTTGGGCACACTTTGTGAGGATCCCGAAGTTCTTCAAGTCCTTGAATCCTCTTACCCCGACTTGACTCGAGGTATTTTCCACTAGGTTCTTCTAGACATCCTCATATATGCGACCAGCCCCATTCTTTTACTTGATAATGACTTCCTTTAATCGAGTCTGTAACTATTAGCATGTTCCGTGGTAAAGTTCTTATTATCGTTTTATCATGCTCCTGCAGCCGAAATCGATGGCTTCAGGGAGTTCAGCGGACTTCCCTCTGATTGGGCTGTAGTCGCTCCCAAACCCGAAGACGACTTCCGTCGCCCTCCTAAAGGCTGTTTTACTTTTTTTGTGGATCAAATAATGGCGGGCCTGCGTTTCCCGATTCAACCTGAGCTGCGGTCGCTAAGCGACCTTTTCGACATACCCATAAACCAGTTCACCCCCAATTCTATTCGAATAATGGTGGCCTTCGTAGTTGTTACCCGCATAGTTTTAGGTGATTTTCTACCCGAATTTTTCCTTTACTGCTACGGATATAGGTTTAGCAAGGACGCCCATTGTCTGGGCCGTCGGGTAGGCGTTACTTTCCTTGACGACCTCTCTTCCAATATTACCGAATGGAAGAAGAAGTATTTCTTCATTCGACCTGCTCCTGGCCAATATCCCTATTCGAATGAGTGGATTACCAGTAAGACAAAACAACGTAAGCGTCCCGACTCTTCACAGTTTGCTGACATGCTAGAAGAGTTAAATAGACATGTGTGGAGCGCTCGTCGACTTACCAAAGATACTTCTTTACTTAATCATGTTGGTATTTGTGTTGACAAAAGTGCTCCTCGCCTTAACGATCCTTGTAAGCTTTCTTTGTTTGTCGTCTTTTGTTCTGATTGATTTACTGTTTATTTGGTCTCGCGTTCTTGCGTTTATTTGTCTTGAAATACATGTACGGCTGGTGTGTTTGTTTGTATTGATAGTTTTCTCTCTCTTTTTTTTTTTAGTAAAAGCATTGGCCCGCTTTGAGAAGAAGAAGGCTGAGCCGTCCCGTAAGTCAGCCACCCACCTTATCCCTCAGGGGTCTGAGGGAGGTTCTGATTCTGCTACTCCCGTTGCGGCAGTCGAGACGACTGCCGCTAAAAAATCTAAAGTGGTGCTCCCTTCAGCCTCCAAGCCGAGTCAAGCGACAGACTCTCACTCTCACAAGAGGCCCCGGAACCAAGAGGATACGACTTTGGGGTCCGACACCTCGAAGCGCTCGAAAGGGAAGGAGACGGTGGTCGAGAGAGACGCGGGACAGCCGTCCCCTGTTAGGGTGCAGCCTGTTACCCT